GGTTCCAACAAACCAACCACTTAGCAGCTTTGCAGCTCGGTCTATCTCACTTCCATACCCGAACACAGAACGTCGTAAATAAATATGCGAATATTAAATCGATCATTGACTTCTGTGCACAGGTATATTCATGCACGCTTCAATGCTCAAAGGATGTGTTCATAATATACAGTCCGTTGTTTGCACAAAACCGCGACAACTTCAGGTCCTCATTGCTGAGGTCTCTAAAGCCGTTGTTTCCAATCACGCCTTTCCCCTTATCGGTGTCTGCTCGAACATGCGTAGCAAAATTGCCCATTAGAATGATGGATTCGTTAGTTGGCATGCAGCACAGAGCATCATCTTCTTCCACCAAGAAGGAATGATATTCTTTCTCCAACTTGGGTGCTAAGATCTGTAGCAAGTTCAAAGTGTGAGCGTGTTGCAACTTCAGCCAGAGGATTGTCGCTCTTCCGCTGACATGGTTTCGTTCAACAATTATGCGAATCAAGCTGGAATCTGCCAGGGTGTCGACAGCTGCATAATTGCATGTCGGGATGTTGCACATACGTAGAGTTGCTTCTTCTCACAAAGATTCAATGTTTTAGAGCCTTTGCACTTTGTTGACGAGAGTCCAAATATACCCATAAGATATCTTGCAGCCTCAAACGATCTTGCTCTGCTTTCTTCTGAATGAAATGTTTCAATATGCTACTGTGAGCCGTATTCAAAGTACTGTAATGGTTACAGTGGTTTGTAAGAATATGCTATTTATATTTGTAATTCAAATGAGAGGTGGTGGGATGTGTTGCAAATCAGGACAACTAGTTGATGGTAATTAACGGACAGTGCGGACTGGAAGCTGGCAAGTAAATAATATGCAAACGTAAATGTAATCAGTCTAGACGTTACGAAAACGGAGATTCATGTTTAATAGTGCGAGACAAATGATTCTTTAACGAAGAAAAGATACAGTTAATAAATGGTTGTCATTGCTCAAAAGATATTTCAAGCAGAACTAGGCACGAATCTCTTCATGAATTAAAATTTGATTGTATCAGTTAATTTAAAACATGTTTCAGTTTCACTGTTTAAGCAGCATAGTTCGGATTGTAAGAGTTCGCATACACGGCTAATTTTAGAACAAGATCAGCAACGATCTTGCATGCCATAGCGGCAACTCACCTGCGACAAGGACAAAACCTGGAGCACCTGTACCTTTACCGCCTTTCGGACAACGAGCTCTGTTTCAATATGGGGGTTATGCCTTTTCTGCTGCACATTTAAACATTTGAAGTTAAGTGCAGAGTAGGAAGCAGAGGGTGATGAGTTTCTAATGGGAGATATGAATACAAATTGTACGCAATTATTCTCTATTCAATTACATCGCGGAGGAAGCCATCTTTGGCTAAATTAGTTTATTTTTGCCTGTTGATTTTTCTTTTTGTCCACTTCGCAGTGATTGTTTCCAGTTACCTATTTTATAACGCGATTATTTGTATGGCGTATTCGTATATCGCATTTTTGTAAAGAGAATCTGTGTTCGCTACCCCGTGTTTCTGATTATTACTGGTTTCTGCAGAGTAGCCCTCTTCGCACTGACAGTTTATCCGGTTGATTATCTGAAAACGTTCTGTTTGGCATGTGTCTTTCTTACTGAGATAGCCAAGCTTGTTTAGGAATGTGCACACTGTAGCTGTTTCGTACTTGACTTAAAACCGCATTATTCTTTCCTTTAAGTTCTTTCGGCAAGGAATGAGAGTAAAGGAACGATTCAAAAGTGTTCGTTTCTTTTTTGCCGTTTCCTTTAATTTTCAGATCCTGTTCAGCTTCCAGTCTGCTTTAAATGGACTATTCGTGGATAAAACGCCTCGGATATCGGTTTTTCTCCAGTTCAACGTAAAGTCCTTGTCCACCTGATGGAATGGATAGGGGCATAGTTTAATGTTTCGGATAAATAAGGTTTGAACCAGTCCAGCTTTCATGAATGTGGGCATGCGAGAATGAAAGTTGACGCAGCGTTAGCTGTTTGTGAGATTTTCATACACAGCGGTTTTCGGTACACAAATACATGTGAAATGGAAGTTTATCCCTTCCTACAGTTTGTGGTTGAAATGAATGTTTTCGAGGATCAAGTTTAGATGTTTACGAAAGGTGCTTAATCTTTCTTCAACATGCCGCCGCGAGACCCAAGTGTTGTCCACGAATCTGTACCATGCGTGGGACCCAATGCCGTTTGTTGTAAACTAAGACGGAAGATACTAGTGATCTAATGGCACAACCATTCTGCAGAATGCAGTATTAACATTGATAGTAACTGCGATGAGTCAAAGCATATTGTGCAACTTCAATAATATCTGATTCAGTCCAGTTCGATGGTAGGGGAGGTGCTTTTATGGGCGTTATTTTGTGTTCCATGATTTCTAACGCCTCTAGAATTGATATGTTTTTAAAAAAATACTCCATCAAAGATCAACATCATCGTCTCTTACGTAATGGGTGACCAATTCACCTCCCGTTTGAACCACCTATAGTTGAAAACATGTCTGTTACTGATTGAGCTCAAGACTTTGTCTCAGTCGGAGGACCAAAAACTTACTGCGGGAGTAAGTAGTAAATAGGACGTTTGTTGTCTGAGTAGTGGTGCTCTCACTGTACCTTGGGTTGCTCGAATAGTTACTTCTTCTAAATATTGTTTGAAAACTAATGTTTCTTTCCGTAATTACACTTTCCTGCAAATCGCGTTACGGTAACTTAGCTATTACGCAAAAATCATTATCACGACAAGCACAGTGTTATCTCTTGTTTTCGGTGTTACTTGGTGATTTTGGTCGAAAGAGATGGTTCCAAAAGATAATGAAAAGTTATTGACCATAGAGGAAGAGCAGAAGGCCGAGGCTGAAAGGCTGAAGACTGAGGCGAACATATTTTTCAAAAGTAAACGTTTCTTTTGCCTGTGATTCTGCAAAGTTTTTATTTTTTCACTCGCGGTCGGCTGTTTTTATGCACTCTTGTTTTTATATGGAAATGTGAAGCTTTTAAGATGCCGATCCCAGCACTTTCCTCTCTGTTCCGTTTTGGCCAGGTGATGTAGCTTTTCTCTAAATGTTAATTTTAGCGCTGTACTTTGCTCCCTACTGTTGAACTGATATTCTTCAGTTCGTGACTGCTGAGTTGAGAGGACGTCGGGAACACGCTCAAGAAATCATCTGTTCGAATCCCGGCCGGGACCACATATGTGATCTCTCAGAGGTAGAGAAGCAGGTAGTACTCTGTGAGAGGATGTATGAAAGTCGACGTTCTGTAATACCTTCTGTGTCAACGTGTAGACATTGCCTTCATAAGTATGGACTCATGGCTGACGGCGTCGTCGGCGAAACTACTGCTTCATTTTAAAATATGTGGTAAATATCGGTGGTGAAAATCATGAAAGAGCACAACCGACCGGCTTTTATTTTCTGTGCTTATTTTGTCGTTAATCGATCTTTTGCACCCTTTGCCTTGAACTTTCTGAAGCTCGAAGCACATGACATATAAGACAAATGTTTTTTATGCGCACTCTGGAAAGGTAAGATACCAAAATGCATGAACACCAGACAAGGAGGGGGTTACTTACCATGCATTAAAAACTCGTTTCTGCCTGCTATGATAACGCTGTGTTGTTGCCTTCGGAGTGAATACCAAGACTTCCCGGTCACATATAAAGTTCCAGGTTAGAACAGCAGATGAGCTGGAGCAACCAGTTGCTTTATAGCTTCAGTTAATCAGTCATTTTACTTTTGTAATTGATAACGATTGATTGTTTCTTTTCTGCGATCACTCTTAATGATAAAATGTAGGTCTAGACAGAACGAAAGGCATGGACTAAAACGTGCAAGGAATTATATTCATGAACCAATTATATTCATGAAACTGTCTGTTTCGATTTTCCGACTATATATATGTTTCTTGGTAGGTGAACCGTCAGACTGAAATTATTCGGATCTCGTAATATGCGATCCATATGTGGTACCGTGAAGCATCTTTATCTTCTGTTCCGATATTTGTATGTTGAGATCCTTACTTTTGCATAAGCACAGTGTCTCTGCTTTGTTATGTTCGCTCTATCCCATTTTTTCAGCGCTTTCTT